GCCGCTTATCTCGCTTTTCTATCCATAAAGCCAAGTCTAAGACTGCTATGCCCTGGTCTCCTGTGTGCCGATCCCCAAATGTGATACTTGATATTCTACTTGATTTGAATACTCACTGTAGACGTCTCTTTTTGTGTCTCTATGATGTCGCAAGTTATTTTTCTATAAGTTAAAATATTGCCTTCTTCGTCTTTTTACTGATTTTGTTGTGCCCCGATCTCTTCCAAGTTTGCTTAGGCCTGTCCTGTATTCTTCGAATCTCCTGTTCATTAGATTTCTTTTAGACGGGATACCAATGGTCTCTCATATCTTGGACTTTCAGCAATTTTCATCATATGAAAATTTCCCGTACGAAAAAATGTTGTGCTATTCCGGATCTTTCCTCATCCAGGTTTCTGCAGTCTATGGTGCTTCTTGATTTGTGGGCTGATTGTGGGTCAATTATGTCATTTAACCTTTTGAATTGTTGAAAAACATTATGGTATTGCTCGCGAGTTATGCAACACAAGTGTCATTCAGACACAGATAATAAAATACTTTATAACGCCTCCATTTAAAAATTAAATGAAAGTTACGAGACCGAGAGGCGTAAGCTATTCAAGTTCAAAGAAATAAAGTCTAGTTTTGAGAAGGATCTAGGCAGGGTTCTCAATACGGAGGATATGACTTACCAGAAGTCACAGAGGGTTCGGGATATGATAAGCAAGAGACATGACAAGAAATCGCTCAGATATGGGATAATAAGACAGCGCAGGATAATGCCAACTTGGACAAGTTTTGGTGAGGATGAAGGCATAAACTGCTACAAACGATGTCAGGGATAAGGTGGTGAACTTATCCTCAGTTCCTCTTAATTCAGAAATAGTGGATCACCTAAAGGGGTTAAATTTTCCCTAGATAACGAAGGAAACATTTAGATAGATATTCTTGTAGAGGTCGTGAGGATGTCGGAAAAGTAGCCAGAGACAAAGAGGGAGATGGAAATGGAAGTAATCCTAAGAATCCAGGCATATTAAGAGCCAATAAGCAGAATAGGATTTAATGGTCTGCGCAAAAAAATTACAAAAGAATCATCAAATAGTTCTTCTGGCGGATAAGAGAGGAACAACGGTGGTAGTGGACAGGAACGAGAATACGGATAAAATGATAATTATCTTAGGCGACCGGAGCACTTAGCAAATACTAAGGAATAAACCAACCATAAGGATCAAGGGGGGACTAAAGGATAATATAAAGGAAAGGTATAACAACGGAGAAACAACAAATGAATGATTAACTCTTTAATTAAAAATGACGAAAGACGACTGGCCGTCTACGGGCTCCCAAAGATACACAAGGAAGGAAATCTGCTGAGATTAAGAATCAACAACAAGCATGGAGCAACACACAATCTAGCAAAAATCATTTGCTTGAAGCTCAAGAAAGCAAATGACAGACTCTCGAACACCGTGAATGCATATGAATTTTCTCAAAGGATCCAAAGCATTGAGCTGATAGGAACGGAATTGTTGGTAAGTTTCAGTGTGCAATCCATGTACACAAACATCTCAGGTGAGAAGGCGGTAAGCACCTTGCTGGAGATATTAGAGCAAGAAAAGGATATCCTGGAGGCAGAGCAGATACGGAAGGAGTCGTTAGCATGACCGATCAACCTGAAACTAAGGACGAACTATTTCACAGTTGAAGACATTATCTATGAGCAAATTTTCAGACTACCGATGAGACTTCCATTCTTACCTTTTTAGAAAATGTGTACATAGACAAATTGGAAATGGAATTCGAGAAGTCATCGCTGCAACTAAGACTACTTATGTATGAATGGGGAGTAGGCACGAGTGGGGAGTGAGAATAAGTATCACAAAACCCACTTACAGGGGCACATCTTAACTAGGCTTAGGTGAGCAACTAATAAATCGGAATGGTGAAGGGGTGTTATGAGGATATAGGAGAGGAGAATACATCGAGACAGAGATACCACAACTGCTTAGCAGAAAATTGCTCAAAGAATTTACTTCACTTGTCTCTTTGGCGAGTTGAAGTTTATTGCTAGGAATGGCAAGGCTCACTGAAAATGCCGGCGAAACGTCTGAGAGCGTACCAAGTAAACGGTCTGACTGGAAATTATCATGCATACAATGGACTCCGGACAAGGTACGTTCCTCTCGGTCTTCCTGCCAATATTACAAAGTTGCGAAAACAAGGTCAAGCAACCTGTATACAACGAAGAGACCGCTACCATAATAAAGACACACCATATTTGTCTTTATACCTTCAAGTAAATGCATGGTAATTTACTTCGCCTAGAAAATCTTATATAGCAAGTGGTATAATTAACCGAATTTCCTGTAACTGTAACCACTCATCGATACAAAGAGTAAGGGTAAACACACTATTGAAATAGTAGGAATAATGCTGAATTTGCTGATAAGTGGTAAGAATGGATCGACCAACAGTGCCATCTCGGGACATCCGGCCGAGTTTGGCCATATTCAACTAAAGAATACACTTAGAATGATAAAAAAACCAGAAAAACTGTCATCCTTTAGATAGTAGAGGTAGTGGAAACAAATTATTAATTCGTTTAACTCTACTTAATTTCCAAAGTATAAAGACCAAGATGATGTGGCCTTTTTGGATGGTCGCGGTCTCTTTTCGTTGCATAGTATTTGTTTGACCTTGTTTTTCATAACTTGGTCATATAGACAGGAAGACCTCCGGAACGCACCTAGTCCGGAGTCCATAATATGCATGATAATTTCCAGTCGGACCGTAAGCTTGGTATATTCCCAGATGTTTAGCCGGCATGGTCAGTGAGCCTTGCCACTCTTAGCACCACATTACAACTTGTTCCTTTGACGAGGAAATGCTTACTGGCAATTCCGACTACGATGCCGGCGAAACGTCTGGAAATGTACCAAGTCCACATTCCGACTCTGGAAATTATCATACATACTATCGACTCCGGACTAGATTCGTTCCTCTAGGTTTTCCTGCCAATATGGCCAAGTTGCGAAAACAAGGTTGAACAACTATCTACTTATTTTCCTTGATGTCTAATGAATAATCTGTGGGATGTTAAATAGGATGAGGCCCCAAATCACAGTCTAAAAAGCTTATTTTTATTTTTTAAACTGAGGTTCGTAAGCTAACTGCACTTTGCATACTACAAAATGAAGATGACTCGATTGCGAAATAAGCTGCCTTAAAAGATTTACTATTCCCCTCCTCTAAGACCAGCATCATACGACTTTTCGAGGAACCTTATATCGGACTGAATCCACATGAACCACAAAATATTTTTTATCGACTAAATAGCTAGCGATAAGATAAAATGAAGTATAACGGGATTACTAACTATTGGACTATGAAACTATGGTTTAACTTAATTCAATTTCCAGCTAAATCGCAGCCACTTTAAAGACTATGCCTAGTGTCGAATAACTAAGCGTGATAGTCATGCCTTATACCTGAAACGGAGTACTGATGGGGTACCATCGTAAAATGTATGCTGGAACCTTGCTCCACTTAGTATGAGAGAAGTTATGGAATGCAATAAAGCTAGGCTACATAAAATAAAATGTGGCAGCTTGAATGAAAGTGAATGATGGATTCAATTATCACAAGTATTCCAATAGCAACACTTCACCACCAACATAAGTGAGATAGTCACAAAAAGTAAAATATCCAACCCTTGAGATGATATATTGACTAGTATTAGGCTTTATACCCTCATTTTTGTTCCGTTTGTGCATCTCCCCTATGCTTTGAGTTTTTAGTTTAGTGTAAATACGTATAGAAAGCAAAAAACATCTCATTAGACATTCGTTTGTGAAGGCCTATGCAAAAGAAAAAGAAGACTCATGAAATTCAGATCAAGATAGCTTGCAGGTTGTAAAATTAATCAGACAGCTTAGTATGCAGCGAAATGTGCTAAAATGAACCCGGATCTTGTAGGTTTAACCTTGGATACATGTGAATCCATAAAGCTGATTCTGATACCATCATATGGACATACATTTCAAGAGTTATATGTAAAAAAGTTAACTCGGGTTCGACTCCCACTGGGGTGCTGATAAGGCTCAGATGAGGTCGAGACTGAAGTCCACCTTGTGTGAGAACACCTTTTAGAAAGCATGGCTAAATTAAATTAAATTGCATTGCGAAGCCCACTTACAAAATTGTGAGAAAATTCAGCTATCACTCCTTTATCCCCTTACGCGAAATAGGGTAGCTACAGCTCCTATAAAGTCATACTCGTTCGGTCGATAAACCGTAAGTGTACAAGTGATGGAACGGACTGGCATAGAAGTATGAATAATTCCTTAATACAGCGAATTAAATGTAATGGCAGCAAGTATGACAACTGCATAAGATGATTGATTCGTGAATTCAAAACGAGATAATGTTAAGAATGAATGCCATAAGAACGGAAAATATCGAATAAGCAAATAAAATAAAATAAAATGAAAAAAGGGGGGATTTGATTGCTTGCTTGTAAACTGTCCTGTAATTTATTGCCTTGGGGTTCGAAATGACTAATAAACAAAAAAATGCTTTATAGCACCCTTTATGGTAATTTGAACAAGTTTAGATGTATAAGTTAACTTAACACAGGTTGGGACAATGAGATGCCATGAAGGATAAATTAAAATGCATCAAATCTAAATTAGGCCAACTGATGGCCTCTGACATATCGGCTGGTGCCAATATCAAAGCCTATATTAATATAATGCTAAATTAGCTGTGAATTATTGTAAAGTAAATACGGCAAGCTCTTGCCAGTATAAGCTGAGAAAAATGTGAGTAGATAATAAGAGAAAGCTCGTTGCAACAGTATAATATAAGTCTAAGAATGGGCTGGAGCTGAAGAAACTGTATGTCCAACAAAAATCATGAGGGTAAAATAGTGTCAACAATCTAAGCCGCATAATGTATGCAAAATCTAAGTCACTCGGACTGCCTAGTATGATCTTTTCAAAGCATATTGATATAAAAATTAATTAGTGGCCTTTGCAATTGGAGAGAAGACAAACCTTTATATAATCGGCCCCGCAGCGATGATTGAGCAATTCTTTCCTCTCGGTTAGTGTATTATGCAGACAGAAGTTCAGTGGGCAACCAGTCTCAATAAGATAGCCATTTAGTTTTGCGAAGACTAAGGCACCAACTCCATGAGCGCAATCTATATGCAGCCGAATTGGGTAGGCAATAGCAGAGGATATGCCATCACGATTTTTGGTGGAAGATGAACGGAAAGAGAAGAGCTCACGGATACAAGATGAGAAAGCGGTAGCGAGACGGAGTGTATAGAGTGAACTGAGTGATTCAGACTCGCAGTAAAAGCTATCAATATGGAGAGCCTAAAATAGCATGGGTATAAATAGGCAAGGCAGTGAAATTCAGTAAAATTTTGATTTTAAATCTTAGCTTTAAAGGT